GACTGTTTTAAAAGTAACCGTCAAGTATTCTCACACTAAAACAATTGTCAAGTATTCTCAACCAAAATGGTAAAATTTGTAATATATACTTGACGATTTTAACTTTATAACCATCAAATATTATCAAATATATTTGACAGTTATTAACCGTTAAATATTTCCCACACAAATATATGACGCTGGTATACTTGACCGTTTTTAACCGTCAAATATAACTAAAAATAACCGTCAATTTTTTTTTTGTAGTAGCAGGAGAAAAGTAACTTATAGGTGTGATAAGTCAGTTTATAAATTTAGGAGCTGTTTGTTATAACTTTTGGCCAATCTAACTTATGGGTTAAAATTTGTTTTTTTAAACATGATTGCAAAAATGTCTAAAACTTATTTATGACTTATGCAAAAATAACATTTTGGAATTAAAAGACATTTTTATCCTTATGTCTATGTTGTTCTTATGCTTCCCTCTATATATTCCTTGTATTTTCTAATTAGTATTTAGTTATTTATTTTAATATTCTCAACTAATTTTTAATAGTTGTTATAATATTTTTAATTTTTAATATTATTTTTTATTCTATATTTATAAATTATACAGAGTATATCATCCAATTAATTATGTAATATTTTTTAGTTTAAAAATTTTCACATTAACATACTTTCCAATTTAAATATATTTTATTAATTAAATATAAATTTTTCTTATTATAATAATTTAACGTTATTATATTTTGTAAATTCATATTTTTAATTATTTAATAAAAGTCATACTCATTCTGGTTATTTTGCAAACTAAACTTACTTACTTAATTGTAATCCAAACAACTTTTTTACTTGACAAACTATTATAAAAATCAATCCAAACATAAATTATCCCAGCTAATCTAACTTTTACTCAATCTCACTTTTTTAAAAGTCAAATTGAAAATAAGTATTTTTTTTTATTGCCAATCCAAACGGAGCCATAATAATTAACAATCAACGTTGCGAGAGGAGATTTTGAAAGGGGTGGGGGTTGTTCTGTTTTTGCTGAAGGTCATTTTCCAATGCATTTATTCTGGGATTGGCTCGTCCCATGTAATCTTAACTTTAACCCAATAAATTTTGACCTTTTAGCAGGGGAAAAAAAAAAAAAAAAGGAGATGGGGGACGTATTCTCATTAATCACACAGTTCTGGCAACCCCAATTCGTCACCATTTTACCCTTACAAAAATTGAAGGATGATTCTTTGCTAGATTCCCTTTAGCAAGGATGTACTGTCCAGCTAGCATCATTATTGACGTGAGTGTCTGAATTAGTGGTAATTAAGCAATCTGATTCGAAAGCAACTTGCTAGCAGATGTACGTGTTATTAAACTTCAATTTGTTGGTGAATCAGTGTTCAGTAATCTTTTTAATTCTAATCAAACATTGTTGTTTATTGTTAACATGACTACCCTCCTCAAATTATAGTGAGACTGCAATAATTTAACCAAAACTTGCATGAGTTTTAAATGCTTAGTTTAAAAAATCCCGCAAGACAAATCTAAGACAACTCGGTCCAAATAAGGCTGATGACTCCGAGTACCAGCACGGCCAGTTACATCAACCAGGCGAAGGAGGAAATTGGCGTTGCTTGCCTCAATTTCTGGTCAGATCAATGCATGTGAAGGTTTTTCTACGACTGTGGATGCCATGATTCTTCCATAACCAAACACAAGTTTGGAGTAGTCGCCTTCACGGGGGCTCACCCATCAACCAGCTAAATTTCCGCACAGTATTATATCACTTCCATCTCTTGTGATCCTCTTGCGCCTGGAAATCGCGCACACATATCCTGCATTAGAGTTTTGCAGTATAATATTTACTTACAAAAAGCCTACCTGACTCTGTTGTATCTATTGATTCCCAGGAATTAATTAAAACCGCCAGCTTTAGTTTCCCTCTCTCTTTCTGATGGCTGCAAGCTACCCGCAATCAATACTGAATATCCGTCTTTCTATTTAGTTTGGGATGTCGCCTTCGACAGATGGAGAATGTAAGTGCGGACAAAAGTTTTCTGCAGGCGCTTGGATTGGCATATAATAAGAAGAGGATATGTTTGATGATGATTTGAATCATATTTTGAGCGTCAAATGCTCAGAATATAGAAAGGAACATGAACAGAACTAGTACTCCATATATATATATATATATATATATAACCGTAAAACATACCGTACTATTAGGGCGACTCGGGCGGTGCTGCGGGAACCGATGGACTAAAGGGAAGCGGAAAACTCCAAAAGTTGGAGGAATTTGGGAAGAATGATTTAAAAAGGGTTGTGAGTTGTGAGTCTCTGAGAGGAGATTCTGGATTTGGCTGGTGATGCAGTTGGGGTGGGAGAAGATGCGAGGAAATGGGCGGGTAAGGAGGACAGCCTGCTATTTGTGACGCGCAAGACAACGCTGAGACGTGAAAGTGAGAGGTTTTTGGCGAGTCAGCCCGGGGGAGCTCTATGCCGTATGGTTGGAGGAGTTTGACCCTCCAGATCTCCTGCCCACGTCATCCATGAGGCGCCACTTCCCACATCACCCACTTACGTCTTCCCAATTCCAATGGTAATCTCTCCACCCAATCTCCTCGTCATCCCCTTTTTTAGCCCCTCAAATTTCATTCCAAAAATATGCCTCCTCTGAATTTTGACAAACCACGACTCTTTCTTTCTTTCTTTTCTTCTTTTTTAATACTCCTCCGGTCCTTAGCATAGAACTTAATTATTGGGTTAGTTTTAATTTTAAATATAAGACTTATTTCTTATATTTATCAATTTTCTCTAAATTACTCCTGGAGATACTCCTTCAACTATAATCAAGTAGAAGAAGGAGAGGGGTATTAAGAAAAATGATTATGGTATTTTAGGAAAAATGTGTCACTTTTCTTATAATTAACTAACTTACCTAACTTTCTTAATCTAACCAAATTAGTTAAATGGATCTTATATTAAAGACCGGAAAGAGTACTACCCCTGGTACGGTACTAGTACTAGATAGATAATTAATTTATAAATATTAAAAAAATTAGTTAAGTTAGTTATTTATAATAAATGGATGTTGTCTTTCTTAAAACATCTTTATTAATTATGTGCTCTAGAAAGAACACCTTTTAATATGTGTGATTACCTTGAGGACTACTTTGGAGAAAAATAACTAGATACAGAAGATAGTATGAATTGAGATTTTATATTTAAGATCAAATTGAATCTTTAACTAGTTCTTATATTCAGGACTAGAGTTAGTATAAATCAATATAGCATTAGTATAAAAAAAATTACTTCCGTACATAATTATAAGACCTTGTTTATAGTCTATAAACGTAATTAGGACCAGTTTGACTTTTATTTTAGTCATAAATATAAGATCCCAATCGACTTTGTCTTTCATACTTATACATTTTTTCCAAAATAACCCTCCTAACAATGATAGTTCTAGTTAATACACTTGATTAGCAAAAATATTTTAGGAAAGACAACACTTATTTAGAACAAATAAGTAACTCAACTTACTTTCTTAATCTCCTTAAATTAGTCAACTGACTCTTATAATTAGGATCGGAGGTAGCATATTATAACAAATCATGATACTACCTTTGATCTTTAATATAATAGCTAGCTAATTTAAGTAAATTAAGAAGGTTTGTCATGTTAGTTATTTGTAATAAATATGTATTATCTTTCATGTAATACCTTTGCTAATTATAAGTATTAGCTAAAAGTATCATTTGATGAAATTTTTAATATATGCGACTACTATAATATCTACTTTAAAATAAATAAATAGATATAAAAAACAAAATTGATTAAAATCTTATATTTAGAATTAAATTGAAAGTAAAATTAAGATAACATATGACGTTAGTCCTTCTTGACGTGTATCAACGTCAGTTGTTTAGAATAAATTTTAAAAACCCGATAACATTGAGTTCTTCCGTGGCAAGTGCTAAAATTACTATTGATAATTTTATAACTTTACATATAGGCGTGGGACATGTTCAAAACAAGGCACAATCAGACATAAATTTTGTTTTCAAATTATTCTCCTTGTTTTTCTATCTTTTGCGTGTCAGCCCCGAAACCTTAGTGGAATGTTAACTTATCACATTCGAACGACATGCACCAAGATAATTTATCTATATATGCCTAAGCAATAGTCTATGCTCCATGTTAATTAATAAGTTCTTCCGTACTTGGCTACTGAATAATTGGTTTAAATCAATTGAACTTGATATTAAAATCTCTTTGCAAAAATGAATTAATCTCGGATGAATTTGTTCATGAACGAGAGAGGCTGCGTACAACTTGCCTGGATTACCAATTATAATTAGCTCATAATGCAAGTCATACAACAGAAAATATAAATAGTAACAGACTAATAATACTCTTCTGGTTCTTAACATAAGATTCATTTAACTAATTTGATTAGATTACAAAAGTTAGGTAAGTTAGTTAATTATAAGAAAAATGACACATTTTCCTAAAACACTATAATTATCTTTCTTAATCTCCCCTCTTTCTTTTCTATTTGATTATAGTTGAGGGAGTATCAATAGGAATAATTTAGAGAAAATTGATAAATATAAAAAAGAAGTCTTATATTTATGACCAAAATTAACTCAAAAATTAGATCCTATATTAAGGACTGGAAGAGTATTTAATAGTAAAATAATCATATGATAAAAGGTAAAGTGGAGGAGTAAGCACACGTGGATCAAAAGGCAAACGTGGTCCAATATTGTCATCTTCTACGCGTAACTAGACATCATTGCTAGCATCATCCGCCTGCTGCCACCTGGACCTTCAACGCGCCTCACTGACTGGTCGCAGGTAGTCAAACCCTTTCACTCGCTTGCGCACGAACACGCTCAGGCCTCCCCACACGTATATATGAGCAGCCACAAACTCTGAGCCTCCACCGAAAAAACGCTCTCATCAATCTCATCCAATATTCGCGACAAAGATACCTCCGTTCCAATACGAGCTCTTCATTCTAATCAATTTATACCCTTCTAAAAGGACACTGACATTTTTATTTTGTTATTGTGCTTTTCGTTTGGGTTCTGGAAGAAATGGTGAAGCAGATCGCCGATGAGCCAACGGAACGAAGCGATTCTAAGTTCAGAGGTGTTCGGAAGAGGAAGTGGGGCAAGTGGGTTTCCGAAATTAGACTACCTAACAGCAGGGAGAGGATCTGGTTGGGATCTTATGACTCCGCCGAGAAGGCGGCGCGCGCTTTTGACGCCGCCATGTTTTGCTTACGTGGCCGCTCCGGTAACTTTAATTTCCCCGATAATCCCCCGAAATCGCCGGGGGCAGGTCTATGTCCCCCGCTCAGATCCAAGCCGCCGCGGCCCGTTTTGCCAATTCGGAGCCCGGGGCGGGTCGCTCAGACAAACCCGTGACCCCCCGACAATTGCAGGAGGAGTCTCGGTCTCGCTCACTTTCTGAAGCGACAGCTGTGCCCGTGGAATCTCCATCACCCTCGCTTTCTGAGGTGACGTTGCAAACGGACAGTGAAATGACACTAAAAGAATCGGTCCCGGACCTTTTTAAGACAACCGGATCGGGTAATTACGCGAATGAATACGGGATATTCGCGGGGTTTGACGATCTAGCCAGTGAGTTCTATATACCAGAAATGCCGAGTGTGAATTACGAGGAAGAAAACATGGATTATGGGTTGCTAATTGACGACTCATTCCTGTGGAATTTTTAAGCAGTAAATTGAGTATAGCAAACTGATAGCGACTAAGTTTCGGATAGTTTTATGATTTCCGGAACATTCACAAGAGCCCCTGGATTAACTGGAGCTAGGATTGGTCAATTTTAGGAGGACCAACCCCCGCGAATGTTTGGGAAGTTGTATTGTTTTTCTTCTTTGGAACAATTTGTGCAGAGAAGATAATTAAAATCAGTTGCAGCGGTCTAACAATAGGGCTGTAAAGTTTGTTCAGAGAATTGTTGTAATTTTTCTGTAGTCATGCATTGAATGAATGAATGAAATACGAATTTATATGTGATGCTTGAATGTGTGGGGTAATTAGCTAATGGGTCTTTTTGGTTTTGGATGATTCTTCAGAGTGACGCATGAGGAAAAAGAAAACGTGGAAAGTGAATGACTTGCCTTGCGGCGTAAAGTGAAGAGATGATAAAAAGGAGCAGAGCAGAACTGATAGGAATTTAAAGAGGGATAAATTAGAATGAGAGGAGGGGATAAGATGGGAGACATGGACCAAAGAAAAGAAGTAATAATGTCAACTTTAAACAAGTAATGACCCGACGAGTCGTCATGGTGCGACAGGCACGGGGCGACATTGAAGACGCGTGCGTAATAGCACGGGAAGAGCCATCAATGGTTACCAAAAGGTCGCCCTACCCGGCTACCCATAATACGTGTATATAAAAGTCGTAACATTATCGCTCATCATTTTTATTTTTATGTCTTTTTTTAATTATATTTTTATTCATGTCATTGGTTTTGCTGCTCCTGTATAAAATCGGAGTGAGTGCGGCTTTTCTATGATAGCAGTTCGGGGGGTCCCACTCATAGGAAAGGAGGAGAATTATTAGGAGGTACTAAACAAGAAAAATAAAAAAAAAAATAAGTTTCAGATGTTGTCATTCTCATTGTAGAACTTGTCATTAGAAGCTGTTAAGGTTGTTATTGAAATTTTTTGATAATTATTTCTTTTATGTGGGATTTAATTATAATTTCTCTTAGAGAAGGAAGGCACTACTTATGTGCATCGTTATTTCTCGTGTCAATTGTCATGCTTTAATTGCAGGCCGTTCTCGCCTTATGTTTGCCATCCCAACCATTCTTCTCACGACACCTTGTGGTCCCGCTAAAATTATAAAATAAATAGCTTAAGTTCAATGGACCTGTTTGGCAGCATCTAAAACTGACTGAGCTTATATAATTTTAAGCTCCCTAGACGCTCAATTGGAATAAGCTAACTGAAGGAGCTTATCAATTAAGGGGGTGTTTGGCAAAACCAAAACCTAGGTTTTAGAATCACTTTTCCGCAAAACGAGGTAACCTCCTCCACATATTTACTTCGTAATCTGTAAAAGCACTTCTGAAACCATGGTTTGGTTTCTATCCAAACACCCCCTAAGAGCTTCTCACGTAGCCGCTGTGCAATGTCAGAAAGATTCTTTGCTTTTCTCTCTCATCTGCCTTTTTCTTCCGCAAGAGCTCGGTCCAGCTTTCCTTTTCACCCCCAGCTCATTCGTTCCTTTTCTCCCACTCGCCGTTCGTGGTCGCCCAGCAGTAGCTCAATCCGTTCGTGGTCACCGTTTGGTCCAACTTTTATTTGCCTTTTTTTTTTTCCATCTCTCTAATGTTTTCGAATTTAATTCACTTAATCAATTTTATTTATTCATATGAAATTAATTTAAATTTATTCTCTTTTCATTTTTTTTAATCATGTTTCACTTTATACTTAAAATATTTTTAACGATTTCTCTCAATTTTAATTCACTCATTAAATTTCATTTCTTCATTATATTATCTCAAATTTTTTTTATGTTTCAATTTATGTTTAAAATATTTTTTTATTTCTTTAAAATTTTAAAATTTAATTCACTCATTAAATTTGATTTCTTCAAATTAAATTATTTTAATTTCATTATATCATGTGAAATCAATTTTTTATCATATTTCATTATTTATTAAAACTCATACCTATTTTGGTAATTTTTCAGCCAAACTTACTTTTACTCAACTATAATCCAAACAAGCTTTTACCAATCTCACTTTTGCAAACTAACTTTTCTGAATTTCAATCCAAACACAATTCACCTTATCCAATTTAACTTTTACCAACTTTACTTTTCATAAGCTACTTTTTTTATAAACTGTTTTTCTAATCGCTGATTCAAACGGACACTAAGACATGTTTCGTGACCCACCCCATCGCGCCATGCTTTTCAGGTATACATGCAGTGCCTGCACATGTGTGTGACCCCATTGCCTTGCAACCTTGGGTCCGCCACTCAGCAAAGTTGGCATACGTTACCTTTAATTTTAATTATAAAATATTATTTATAAATTATAAATAAAGTTTTATAATTAAAACTGAAAGTAATAGTAAAATAATTGTATCAAAGAAATTTCAGAAAAAAAATGGATAATAATAATAATGTTATTAGTGGCAGCAGAAAGATAGTCCAGCGACTACTAGAATATATTTTCGCATATTCCATTGGATTCGCCTTTCCCGAAATCAACCATATGAGCCATGAATTTAGGTGGTGTCGTAGATAATGGTCCATTAATTTAGGCGGGGTAATAGGGATATCCTGGGGGTAGATAATGGTTCAAAGTTTAAATTCTTCTTATGTAATAAAATTATGAAAAAAAAACATGTAAGCACGACTAAAAATTAGTTAAAAACTTTTAACTAATTTTTATTAATCTTCTATATTATTTTTTCTCTTTATTAAAATTTTGAAACGCCACTTCTTTAATTTTTTAAATAGGGCTCATTAAAAAATTTTTCCTTTTATTTTTCTCATATCAAACAGTACCTAAGTTAAATTATAGTCCCTTATAGGGGTTTATTGTCTTCGACAACCAAACATCTTATGTGGCTTTCAGCTTAAGGGTCCGTATGATTTGCTTTTTGTTCCTTGCTTAGTGTCCATGTAGATTAGTTGTGAACCAGTGATTTTATGTAGTAGCAGGTAAATATATGAAGAGAGTTTTGACTCTAAAACACAGAGAAACGTTTATTTTAAACTAATCTAGAAAATTATTACTATTTCGGTACTAAATATAAGACCCTTTATAAAACCCTTATACTAGTATAAGGGTTTTATATTTAGAACTGGAGGAGTACTTTACAATCCTCAGTCTTTTTAATATAAGAGCTAGTTAAATAATTTAAGTAGATTAAGAAAATTAGTTATATTAGTTATTTTTAATCAATAAGTGTTGTTTTATCTAAAACACTTTTACTAATTAAGCATATTAACTAGAACTACTCCTCCGGTCCTTATTATAAGACCCAATTTGACTTTTTATTTGGTCCTAATTATAAGACCCCAATCCATTTTATCTCTTATATTTATGCATTTTTTTCAAGATAATCCTTCTAATAATGATAGTTTTAGCCAATATACTTAATTAGCAAGGATATTTTAGGAATGACAACACTTATTTATTATAACTAACCAACTTAACTTACTTCCTTAATCTCCTCAAATAAGTCAATTGGGTCTTATAATTAAGACCGGAGGAGTACTATTTAATAAAATATTTAACATGTGTAACTATTATAAAAAATATCTTAAAAAAACAAACTAGTGTAAAAAATAAAGTGAATTGTGATATTATATTTAAAACTAAATTAAAAGTTAAACTAATTCTTGTATTTATTAATCTCTTTTTCTTATATCCAAAAACATCCTGTAACGTAGGGGTGTGCATGAGGCCCGCATGCCCAATAAGCCCGCCCGAGCCCGCAAGAAAAGCGCCCAGTCCAGCCCGATAAAAAGCTGCCCAAGCAAAAATGGGCATCTTCGGGCTGGGCTGATTCACGGGCATGGCAGGGCCACGGGCAAGGTATGCTGCCCTGCCCATTTGGCCCTGCCCGAAAAAATATATAATTATATATATAAGATAATATTATTTTAAGCAATTATCTCTTTTGTTTTGGCCAAAAAAATTAGGTAAAATTAGAAAAAATGAAAGGAATATAAAATTATAATTATATAAAAGAGCTAAATATCAAAATATAAGATTCAATATGCTAAATTACTCCAAGTCAAATTTCCTTCTTTTTCTCTTACATCCAATTTTTTAAAACAAAAAAAGAAAAATAAAACCACCTTTCAAATTTTGTGCTTTCACATGATTATAAGAATCTGCCAACTATATGAATAAACTAAGGAATTGAACTACTGATTTAGCTTGATTATTAAATGTTCTAATTATTAAATATATATTTTTACCCCCCATAAGAAATTGAAAGTTGAAGAACAAGACTACATAGGCTTTATATATATATATATATATATGAGTGATAGACTCATTCGTGATAATCTTTTTCCTCTCACTTGTCTCAAAACACGATAATTGAATTTTTTTTTCTACATATGATATAAGGCATAATGTCATTATGCTGGGCAGAAAAGCCCGCCCTGCCCAGCCCATCCTTGCCCTGCCCAAAATGGTTAGGGCTTCTACTGGGCAGGGCCGGGCAGCGGGCTGCAAAACGCAGCCCGCTCATCTTTCGGGCTGGGCATCGGGCAAGGGGTTTGCCCTGCCCAGCCCTGCCCATGTGCAGCCCTAACATATCTCCCTCGATGCAGTTTTACTTCGATTTCGCAACATTCTCGATGGGGGATTTTAGCAGTGTGCCTTTCAACGAATGGAAGCTCATGTCCTATATACTGCAGGATGCCTCTCGCTCCTAAGCTGCATTTTGCTTCTGTCATTTCATGCGTTGGCTATCCCTATGTCAGGTTTTAAACTCTGGTATAGCAGAGCTTGAGATCATCAGTTATCTCTCCTTCTTCCTACCGCTGTTGGCACGCATAGTGGGCCCAGTTTTTAGTTCTCATTACTGCAGTAGATCATTCAAATTTGTTTTAATAGTTTAAATTTAAAATTGTCAGCTAATAATTTTTAAATAATTTTTTTTTAAAAAAATAAGTACCTATTAAAAAGAAAATATTTTTTGAAAAAAATTAAATATTAAATTCTGGCCAACCATATTAAATTTAAATAATTGAGATTTGATGAAACTGATTCCATAAACAGGGGCGTTACGAAGCGAAGCTGACGGCCAATTTCAGTACGTTTCCCTGAAGGTGTGGGTGAAGAGCAAATATGATGATTAACTATTGGGCCTGAAGCCCACAAAACTGTTGCCTATGAATCCAACATTCAGATCTACAACGATGAGCGGAGAGGGGAGCTGGGCTTGTGAAACCGAAGGATGCATCGGGAAATTTCAATTCTGGTGTTTAATTTTAA